AAAGACAGGAACAAAGATACAGATATTATGGAAGTTGAGGTCTTTGGAAAAACATTTGAACTAGACCATGATCTGTCGGTCAAACGGAACCCAGCCTCAGTGCTATTAGAGTCTTAGTAGCAGGAAAATTTTGTTTCACTAATTTGGATCTGATAACTTCCCTTACCTGCAATTAAAACAAAAAATATGTGAAAGAAAAAAGTTGGGTCACAGATGCAACAAAGCTGCCGGTCGGTCGGTGGCTCCGCCACCCAGCTCTGTTTGCCGTTCTCCTGAGTTCCCACTGCACCACGACTCCTTGGATTTGGGGGAGAAAGGAACTGCAGAGCAGCCTTTTATTTATTTTTTCCAGAAGTCGTACTCAGTGCCCTGGTGGGTAAGAGCACACTCTAATTCGCCTTCTATTACAGTGATAAAACACTACCCAAACCAAACTGGGAAGGAAAGGGCTTATTTGGGCTCACGGGTAAGAGTCTATCATCAAGGGAAGGCAGGATAGATGTTCAGGGTAGGAATCTGGAGGCAGGAAGTGAGGCGTAGCAATGGAGGACCACTGCTCACTGGCTTTTCTTGGTGGTTTGCTCCGTTTGCTTTCTTATGCAATTCGTGACCACCCATCTGAGAATGACACTGCCTACCTTGGACTGGGTCAATTATTAATCAAGAAAATGCCCTCACAGACTTGCCTATAGGTCAATATGATAAAGAAAAATTCCACAGTTGACATCCCCACTTCCCAGATGACTCTAGCATGTGTGTCAAGTTAAAAAAAAAAAAAAACAGAAAAAACACCTAATTAGCATAACACAGGGACAAGATGGCTAAGGTACAGGGGGCGGGGGATGATATAATTTACAAGTATGAGTGAGAGCAGATTACATCACAAAACTGTTTTGTATATGCTTGTCACTCGGATGCCCGAGGGAACTTTGAAAGGCAGGATGCCAGATTTCTCTCTTGTGCACGCCTTTGCTGACTTTGATCTTTCAGGATGTGCAGTAATTTACTTATCGTTCATCTATATCATATCCCAAAAGGAACAAAATAAAGTTTCCCAGGGAAGCTGCACCATTTGACCTGAATGTCACATCTTGTTGAAGATTATCTCTGGATGTGATGAACTCTTGGCAAAGGCTTGTTTTATGTGAAGTTTACTCTCCATGCTTGGCTTTTCTCCCCTAGATGCTTTCATTGACAACAGATCTTCCTCAATTTTTTTAAGACATCCATGTGCTCATGGGGCTACATTTTAGTCCCCAAATCTTTGGCATCACTCCTTCCTCTGTTAGGTGAACATACCCACATATAGACATAGTTCTATGATGTAATCTGCTCTCACTCATACTTGTAAATTATACGTCATACATAAGACATTGTATGAAAAAACCTAATAAAAATAGGCTCATGTAATAAAATAAAATAAATCCTTGCAAAAAGGGTATTTGTAGGACACTTCAATTTCTTAGAATTCTGCTGGTAACACTGCTTTTCCTAGATGTAGAGGTATTCTCCTAAGTTTACTTTCCAAAATGTTTTCTCAGTTTTCTCATTTGCATGCAAGTTTAATAATCTTAAAATATTTGTTGTGTTTTGGCTCAACAACAAAAATAAAAACCACCAAAAAAAAACAAATAAACAAACAAAAGTATTTAACTTAAGTATTAACTTAAGTAGGGTTAAGTGCCTGTACGCTCATATTAAAAGTTAGATTTACCCTTAGGAAGTTAAATTTATAGGATGATTGTTAAATTTATGGGGAAAATTGCCCATTTTTTCAGCTTTGAGAAGATTCCAGACTTTCTGAAGATACTGATGTATATAGCTTACAATATAGCTACCCTCATTTTTGAAAGACTTTCATTTCAAAATTTAACCTTCTCTAAACTTAATCTAAAATACCAAAGTGAGATTTTAGAGAATGGATCATATTTTAGTATGTCAGTGTTTCTACCTTACATAGGAAACCAACAAGTCACTACTGTCACTTCAAAATGCAAGTAATTTTCATTTGCAGATCTAGGACCTACTGAAAAACAGAGCCTGTGGGAGGGACCATTCTTGTCACTTGACTGTGTTGTCTTGTCATAAAACACTTCACTAATTTAGCATTGGGTTAGTCATCTTTGTGTTAATTTTTCACATATTGGGAAGGGGTGACTAATGAAGTGAGCATCTCAACGTGTAGACGGAATTCTACTTCAAATTCCCCTTTGGTCGAGCCTGGCAAGGAACATCCTACTGGAAACTAAATCAAATTCTACATGGTTCTGCAGTGATTGGGATGTGTACCACATTGATACATACAACAGATGCATACAATTTGTTGGTGGGGATAAAATACAAAACATACATATGCCTCGCATTATATTATTCTCTTCTCCACCTCTTTTTCCCCCCCTTTGAGTCCCAAATGCTGTCATTTTTTTTATTCTAAAGCAAGCGTGAGACATAAAAAAGCAGCAGGGATAATGTGAAATGATCATTTGTTTGATGTTTTCTCTGTAAAACAATCAAGAGCATGTGTCAGTTTCCTGTAGGTTCATTACACGGGTGGGTTCTGTAAGAGATACTAGCAAACTCATGATTAAAATAGTTATTTCTGGGGCTCTGAGATGACTCAGCAAAGGTGCTTGTGACAATCTTGGCAACCTGAGTTCAGTTTCCAGCTCACACATAGTGGAAGGAGGGGATCAAAGTCAACAAGTTGTCCCCAGCTCACACATAATGGAAGGAGGGGATCAATGCCAGCAAGTTATCCTCTGACTGCCACTCGGGTGCTACGGGCATCTACATGTCCACATGCACACAGTCACATAAAAGTTATTAAATGTAAAGTAATAATATTAATGGCAATGAAAGAACTCCGGTGACTTTTCTTTGTGTATTCTATATACGACATATGTAATAAAGCCCTTTCTGTTCTTTTTTATATAAATTAAAATTTGAGAACAATATTTATTAGCAAGATTTCGCCAAGAAAAATATATTTGTTAAGGATAGTTTTGGTTCTCGATGAAAAGGAGCGAACTTGGACCCGATCTGCATGAAATGGCAGTGCCTGAGTGGGGTTGGCTTGGCGAGCAGAAAGCTGGAGTAGGGCTGGATTCCTGGCACTGCTTCCTCAACAAAGAGAACAATTTTAATCAGCTACAAAAATATTTGCGATCCATATGCTCCTCTCTGCTCACTCCCATATGCCCATATTCTCTTTTATCTTGGGAGATGATGACTTCATGATTCAGCAGTGTAAGAATAATACCTCGCTGACTTTAGAGTTCAGTTCTATTTCAAAGCACGTCCTGGAAATTACGCACACACACACAGACCCAGGCTGTTAGCACTTGGGTAGTTATGTGAGCATGAGTTTGTCCTGTCTTCTTGGGAAAAATTATAACTTACTTCCTCCTACTGAAGCCAGCATGGGTATCTGAGGCTTGGCTTTGAAACTCCATTGTCATTTGCCTGCTGCATTGAATGCCCCTGTGCAATTGTGAGGGCAGGAAAATAACGCAAAGGCTTGGGCTAATTCACAATAACATCATCCACTTTGAGAAAAGGTAAACAATGCAAAAAAGCAGTTGGTAACTTTGTCTAATGGGGTGTTTACTCTAGATAATGGGCTTGCAAGCTAATTTGTCATTTCTTAGTTTTTTTTATTTAATTAAAATTGGGCATCTGTCACAGTAGCCATGGTACAAGAGGTCAGAGTAGAAGAATGAAAATTAACCCTCGATTAGTGACCCGTTTTGTGGCAGATGTGTGCTTGCCTATCCCAATAGCTATATGGTTTCTAACAAAAGGTTCTATTTTTAAAACCAAGTTATCCATTGGTATAAAAGATGACTAAATCAGAAATTATGGATGCGATACTTGGTAGTATTTTCAACAGTTGTTTCCCACTGCAGGACAAATGGCTTGTAACCCAATATGCTATTAGCAGCACCACTGCCAAATCAGAAAGGAACCAGTCATGCTCGTCTACGCTAGTGGGGGAGGAGATGGCAAGGAGAAAGGGTTTCTAGCCTTTGGTGCAGTAGTTGGATGCAGTTCATGTTTTCACAGGCTGTAGCACCCAAGAGGTATGCCTGTTGCTGGAGTTATGCCTGGCAGGTGTGCCCCCCCCCACCAGGAGGCTGAGAGTTTGGACTGAGGTATGCTTTTGGCAAATGCTACCAGGAACACAACTCTCTGTTTGCATTCAAGCTGTCTGTGTGGCTGCTCCTGTAGGAGTTGCTAGAAAAGAAAGTATATTAGAGTGTGGATTGTTTGCAAGGGGCCTGGGATGTGCCAATCTGTTGCTTGTCACAGGGAATGCTCAGCTGGCAGAGCTGTCCTGGTGGGCAGGGAGGGTAATGGAGAGGATGTTCACCATGAAGGAGGATCTTAGGGGTGCTTTGCAAACTGTCAGTGGAATGAAAATTGCTCTCTCAGCTGTGCCAGTGTGAAAGTTTTCTGCTCTCTCCTCTCTCTTTTTAACTTTATAGACAAGGTCTCATGAAAATAAAGCCAATGAATACGCTGTATAAAGAGACCTCTCACAGCAGACTCATAGACAGAGCTAAGATACACCATATCTGCCTATAATTTAGACAAAGACTTCCATTTAGAAATAAGAAAAAGACAAACCTTTGGCATGTAGGTGACTTTGATTCTCATTGAGGCAAACACACAAACTTGTTTTTTTTTGTTATTTTTTTTTAAATACAAAGTGCGAGATTTCACTAAAAAAGGTTAAAATTGAAGTGAGTAATCTTCGGTGCATAATTCAGTTGTTAATTTTAGCTCCGTGCGTGGGTGCCGCTCTGACTTGAACAGCCGGCTGTAGCCTTCATTGGAGAAGAAGCAGGCAGCTTGGGACAGGTGGAGCTGGAGCAGGCTGGGAGAGGGATTTGCGGGAAGCTGGTCATTAGGGTTAGACACCCAGTCTTTCTGACTGTGTGCTTCTCCCTCCTGACTGCCACGACTGTGGCCATGATGATTTACTCTTGCTCTTTTTGCAGGCTGTCGACCATGTGTCAAGCTGTGTAAGGAAACTGCCTGGAGATGGGCACTCTGGACTGCTAATGGGGACATGGGACGGCGCTTACCTCTGATCACTTGTGTGGATTCTCCCGGTGCAGAAGGACAGAAGCCGCCAGCCATTCATCCAGATCTACAGCTGGAATTCTGTGTGGAAGGTAAAGCACTTGTGGGACCGAATCTCCTCTGTTTTTTTTTTTTTTCCTGTTGCTCTTTTTTTTCATTACCGTGCCTGTCTGCAGAGGCCAGCTCACCACATGCAACCCTCAGCATCAGGACCAGTCTATCGGGGGAGTCATTGGACTTGTGCTTTGGGAAATTAGAGTTCAGTCTCCTTACTCCATTTAATTTTTTTTTTTGTTAGCTGAAGCACTCTGAAAACTGAGTTAGGGCAACAGAAGTTCTTTGTCCCCAACAGCCCTACACACTGTTCAGAGAAAGTAAGCTATTCACCAATGGGAAAAATGAAATGATTATTTGATTCATCACACATGCTGGGTAACACTGAGATATTTGCCCAAAGGCAGCAGATCCTAAAACTTCTCCAAACTTAAAATCAGCAAGCCAACCAGCTTAACCTCTACCTCCTTTGCGGAAACTTTTCCTTCTGCGATCCCACAATCCTCTGCCAGATAGGTCCATGTACATGAAAATTTTTGTTACAAGCCACCTGCTCTGTTGGGGGTGGGTGGTTTAAGTAAATTAGCAATTGGATTTGCCATGGTGTTCATTTGTCTCTTGCTTCCAGCAGAAAGCAAAGTTACAAAGTTAGTAAGTGCTAATGCAGCCGCACTCCCAGAGATATGGGGCACACTCTGTCCTGTGCCAGTCTCCTCTGTAATGGCTAGAATGGGACAGGGAATTGTGGGGAAGTTTGTGAAAGAAAGAACTTTCTAAACTGCTGCTGTCCTAATCCCACCTCTCTCTTCTTCCCTCCCTTCTCCCCCTCTCATTTTTTCCTCTCTTTCCTCCACCCCTCTTTCCCTCCCTCCACTTTTTCATACTTAAAGAAGTGAGCAGGAAGTAAATAAGGAAATGGTAAATGATTTGTTAGCATGGCAGAGAGAAAGAAGTACCAGAGACTTTTAGGGGGAGGGATAAAAAAATAATGGAACTAAAGTCTAAAAAGCCACTTCCTGTCTGTGGAGCAGTGTGTTGTGAGTGTGGAGAGGTAGGGGGCAGCTGTAGGAATCCTTAGTACTGCCATGTAGGGGGTTCCTCCGGGATCTGCAGCAAGGGTACCTGGCAGGGACCTAAGGAGGGGGGTGGCTGCTGCTGAGGCTGAGGTTGCTGCCTTTGTTTGTTGTCCATTCAAAGCCTGAGTGTGCTGACCCGGGAAGGTTCACAGTCAAAAGTAGATCCCAGGTTTGTACCAAATCATAACCTTTCCATCTGATGTTTGCCCCTTGTGTGTCCCTGAATACAGTATACTGTATCCCATGTTGCTTGGGGGAGGGTGTGTTTCCATGGTTGAAATTTAAAATAGTTTTCTAAGGTACCACCTTCCATCAGTAAGACCTCTTGACTCAGAAGTTAGGGGTCACTTGTTGAAGTACCGGGGAACTATCCCCATTTTCTTCTTTCACTCTGTAGCAGAATGTGGGTTCTAACAGTTGGGTGGGAGCTATGTGCCTCAGCCAAGATTAGTTGATTCATTTTGACAGACAGTGCATGCCTCTGATGGCTTCGTGTGCAGAGGGGCTGAGGCTGAGGTGGCTGACGTACCTGCCGCCTGTGTGTGCATTTGCTGCTGCTGGTTGTCTTGCTCTAGCCTTCTGAGTGTGTCACGTTGGCAGCGATGCTGGTCTGCACCTCTGGTTGCAAATACACAGGGGGACACCAGAGAGCTCAAGAATAGTTGGAGACGCTTCCCTGCACTGACATAGTTTTCTGATACTGAAACCTTTTAGGGTCTAAAACATCGTTGTTTTAATTTGCATCTGGGAGAATGTCTGAGCAAGGAGAACTGAACCCAGCCATAGTGGAGGAAGGACGGACCGAGCCAGAGTCTGCCCCAGAAAATGGCATCGTCAAATCTGAAAGTCTGGATGAAGAGGAGAAGCTGGAACTGCAGGTGAGTCAGGGGGACCCGTCCTCAGCCTTCCACCTAAAGGACGGATCTAAGACCGCTTGAGGAACTTGATAGTTAAGGATTCAGCAACCCTCATGCAGCTGTTTTTTTTAATGATGCCATAAAATGCCTTTGGAGATGAAAACTAAAATCATCCAAGGAGTGTATTTAATTACTGACTCTGCATACAGGAGCCCAGTGTCCTTTGTTAGACCACCTTGTGTGTGTGATGCTCTTGGTGTCTTGACACAGATTCCCTATCTCATGGAAAGATGGAGACAGAGCTCATAGCCCAGAAATGTCAAAGCCATGTATTCTATTCACCGTAGACATGTGAAGGTTCATATCTTCTTATCAGACCAGCCTAAACTCCAGAGTCCCCAGCTGAAGACTCAGAGCACTAAAAAGGGTTGTGAGGAGCAGTAGGAACCTGCAGCAGTTGGAAGAAAGAGAAGAGAGTTGGGATTAAATAGGAGGTGTTAATCCAGGGAAGGTCATCTGAGCTGTAAATGCTATAGATTGTCTTTAAACTGATTTACAAATGTGTTAGTGTTTCCCATGAGCCAATCCCATCAAGAGTCAATAATCATATAATGATCAATCGGACAGGTGGTCTTCTCTTTTGTGTTTGCTCTGAGGAAAAGGACTGTAAGTGACAATGTCAAAAAATCGGGAATCTGGCCAGGAGGGTGTCCTTCCTGTGCTTCCACTGGCAGTATCTCCATTATCAGTCTCCCATCCCTTTTCTCTCCTCTCCTCTCCTCCACCCCTACTCTGTCTTCCTCTCTGCCTTTCTCAAGTTTACTGTTTGTTTCCTTCTGTTTCTACCTTGCAGCGGCGACTGGCGGCTCAGAACCAGGAGAGAAGGAAATCCAAGGTAGGGATCTTCAGGTTCCACAGGAGAGTCACACATTTCCCATCAGAACAGCAGATGTGCCCACAGCCCAGAGGCTGTGGTGGGTTCTGGCTGTGAACCTCAACCTTATTTTTCTTATGTGGTTGCTTCTCGTTCACAACCTGAAGACCCGTAGCATTCTCTCCTCTCTCTCTCTCTCTCTCTCTCTCTCTCTCTCTCTCTCTCTCTCTCTCTCTCTCTCTCTCTCTCCACTGAAAGCTGCAGTAGTGTTTTTTGTTCGTTTTTGAATAAAATTTAGAGTAGGCATTCAATCTTAGAAGAGATTTCTACCTAGAAATAACTGGACAGTGTCTCTCAGGGCTTGGAGTTCCTCCTTAGAGGATTCTTCTAACTTGGTGTTAGTGGAGATTCACTGTGGAGGGATTCTTCTGATATTTTCATAAAATGCCTTCCATTCACCCTTCATGCACATGGGTGAGGACAGTGAAAAACCGTTGCATAAGCTTGTGTTTTCTCCTCTGGCACCGGCTTTCTGATCCTTCCTTGCCCCTTGCACACACAGTCACTCAGCCCTTTAGATGCTGGCCTGAGAAACCTGGTTTGGGAATACTCATGCAAATATGGTCTTCATGATTTGACAGTCTGAGAATGGTTTCTGTTTTTCATCTGCCTTCCTCAATGCCCAGTCAGGAGCAGGCAAAGGGAAGCTGACCAGAAGCCTCGCTGTCTGCGAAGAGTCTTCAGCTAGACCTGGAGGGGACAGTCATCAAGATCAGGTATAAAGTCTGCTTTGAGAAGGACTTGCATGATTTTATCTCACTTTGAATGACCAGTCGCTAATTTGACACTATAGACATTTTAGGGGAGAAAACGGAAAGGGAAAAAGATAGAATTTTCTTGCTTCATGCCCCGTTTCTGAGACATGTTGCGGAGTCACAGGTTTGGGACTGGGCCCATAACCTAACAGGTAAAGGGCTTGTCACACAAGCATTTGGGACAAAGTTGGGAATGGTTTGTCATTTCAGCATGGGTGAAATAGAGTCAAGCAGAAAGGTTCCTGGGGTTCAAGGCCCAGCCAGCCTGAGGTCTAGTCAGTGAGTCCTAGGTCTCAGGGAGAGACTGTCTTAAAAAAGGAAGGAAGGGAGGAAGGAAGGAATGAAGGAAGGAAGAAAGGAAAGAAGGAAAATGGTAGATGGCACCAGAGGAGAAGCTCCCAAGGTTGTCCTCTGATCCCACGTGTGTACATGTACCCACACACCCTGGTGTGCCTCCCACAAATATGCAAATGTACCCCACCCACATCCACACCCACCCACCTCCATACACAGCTAGTTTAAATGTATAACACAGGATATTGCATTTGTTTTGTTTTTTTTCCAGACTCTCTGAAAACTGCAAATGGAAAGGAACCCAAAAGAATTTAGATTAAAGCTTAATTTTTTTTAAAAAAAGATAAGCAAGCACGATAGTGCTGGATGTCTACCAAGGCTCTCTCTTGATAAGGCTGAACCAAATACAACCCAAGCACCCTCTTTAGGGAGACGACTTACCTCTCACCTTCCCAAAGGCACCTGCCTAGAAAAACAAAACCCACAAACACACCACTGTTGGCTCCTATGAGACTTAAGAAATAGTAGTGGCTAAGGTGCCCTGAACTTTGGAGAAGTACCCTTATAACCTTTGAGAGGGATTCTTTCCTCGTGTGTGAGTGCTGTAACAGTGATCCAGAAAAGCATCTGAGCTGGTGGTGAATTTGATGCTGACCAGTTGCTGCTTATTTTCATCCTTATCTTTGCTCCTTTCTGCAAGATGAGCAGGCACCCAGAACTTAAAAGTCTGGGAAAACTCTTCGTGACCAGATGGAGCCCCTCGTAGCCTTTTCCTCTTTTAACCATCATACTGGCTTCTGAAAAAACACAGTCTGGATGCAGAAAGTTTGCTTATTTTATCAGAGGCCAAAGGCAGTCCAGACAAAAGTCAGATGCTCTGCCTGAGCCCAAGGGAGGGAAAATTGATTACGACATCATTAGCTTTGATTTGGATTTGTTTCGCTTCTCTTTCAAGGCCACCTCCCTTTTCACGTGAATTGAAATCCTCTACACTCTCTCACTAACACAGAGAACATGGAGAGCACCTTCTTTACAAGAACCAAAAAAATAAATTCCTTATAGACTTTTGTCCTCAGCTGTCAGTCAGTAGCCATTACTGTGTTCATATGCAGCCTTTTTTTTTTTAACAAAACAAAACTTGGGCTCTGAGAAACGTGTGGCTTTCCTCCAGCATTTTATGTATGCTTCTATTTTTCATGGAGATGAGAAAGGTCGGACGATGCGAATACCACGCCTTGTCGTATCAATGTGGATTGGTGGTTTCTAATGTATGGCATATGATTGGTATGAAACCCTGTAGAATGGCAGGCTCTGGGAGAAGCAATGGCGCAGTTGTCCCTCACTCCTAATGCCAGGCAGAGGAAGGCAGCTTTTGTAGACTTCATCTGCTCTTTGTCTCCTTCGACAAAAACAGGAGGAGTTTTGGTAAGGGTCACCTGTATCATAGCACCCATTCCAGAGGCAGGTCTTGGTACTTCTACACAGTGGGTGCAAACGGTGCTTTGTTCCTGCTGACTCTGAACCCAGCAATCAGGACTAGTGTTGGAAGAGAGAATTAGGGTCCCCAAGCTTTCTGTTGGTTAGCCAAAGAATGATGGGGTTAGGAGGTTGGTAGAAAACCAACAGACACATGTATAAACAAATGGTCCCATCTCAGAGTTCATATGCAATGCCTTCACTGGACACTTAGGAAATGTGTGGACTGACTCCGAGAGAAGTATACAATACATGGAATGTACTGCTTCCCCATGTTTGTATATTCACAGTATTTGGGAAACTGCCTTTATCTTCTTGTGTGGGGAAAACTCTTGTTTCCTGTGTTACTTGATCTCAGACCCACACCTGATGGATGATTCAGTCTGTCTTTGAGTTACAGGAAGTGTGCTTTTCTAATGTTATATTATTTACTGACCAGTGTGTTACTGCAACTTGAATCATTCTTTTACTGTTGTTGGGTATAAACTTATCCTGTACCATTGTATTTATTAACACTTGTATTTTAATATTGAGCATATCAATAAAAATATTAAAAAATAACAGATTGTTTTTACCAACTCTATAGCACTTTTTGTGTGTTCATTCTACACCATACTGTATATTTATGTGTAGAAAAAGTATATTTTTTTAATCCTCAGTGTAGCATTTGTCAACATAAAGCATCGATTTGTATTTTTTTTTACAGTGGATGTCTTTGGCCTCTGTTTTTATGTATAGAATCATGTATAGAACATGGTGATTTTTAGATTCCAATTTAGAGATGGATCCAACATTTCTGAAGAAGGAATGGGATCATTTCTCTTGTGACTCACGTGATCACAGCTTCTCCCAGAGTCTACTGATGGACTGAGTCCTCCCTATCCCACCCTGAGATGCATCTCAACAGCAAATGTCCCAGGGATTTCCTGAGACAGTCAAAGTAAAATCAAAACCCTAGGTCCTACTTGAACGCTCACTAATTGCAACAGTTCTGTCCCTAATCATGTAAAGAATGACTACAATAGCCTTTCACTCTGGCTTACATATTGTGCATATATCCACCCACAGAAAAAAACTCCTGAGAGTCAGAAACCCAGCTTAGTTAAAAATGCATGATGGTGACATATTTTATTTCATCTTCTATATTGTGGAGGCTAGGGCTATTTTTACTTTTGATTTTTCCTCTCACCATCATGGTGACTTCCTTTGAGCAATCATTTCATATGGTCCCTCCTGACACATACAGCTTACTTTGAGGAGTGCTACCTTGTGCTTATTCAATTAGCCAGGTTTGTTCAGAGCCATTCCATTGCCAATCCCAACCTGGGCACAGTTAAATGCCAATGTCACAGGTCACGGGTTAGGAGCGCCTGCAGGGAGTTTTCTGTGAGAAACACTCGTCCTCACTGGAAACGTTACCTACCTCCGCCCCACATCATGAAGCAGTGCCACTGAGTGATCGCTCACATATATACAACCTGGCCTCATCCTCCCTGATTCATTATGACTGTAGTCAGCACATGCTTTGTGGAAACTAACAACCCCAACAAAATATCATTTGGCGCTTTCTGCTGCAAAGAAGCAAACCTGCAATCAAAGTATTGGCTACTGTGTGTCAATCAATATAAGCCCATTGGTTTTCAGAAAAAAAAGTGAATACAAAAGTAGATCCAACTTAACACTGCAATCCATACCAAGCAGCTGCTTAAGAGAATCTGTTTGGGAAAGAATTAACTGTAACTAAATTGACCCAAACATAGATTTATAGATAACTTACAAAAACATGGCAAGACTCACCTACCACATTTCCTAAAAGGCAATCCTTTCTGTGACTTTGAATTACAATGAAGTATTAATGACATTTGTAAGCAATCCCCATGACCCCAGACCTAGGATTCTCAGTTTTCCATAGCATGGGCATCCTGATTCTAGAGCTGACTCCATGATAGAGATTACTACTGTAAATTGGCTGTCAGGTGCTTTCTTTCTCTTGGTTCTAACTGTAATTATGACTCCTGGAACATGTCTGTCTGTGTGCACATTCCTCCTTATAAGGAACTCTGGAAAGGAACTAGAGAAGCCTTTTTTAGACATGACAGTGGCTCCAATGTGAGCAGATAAAGGAATTTTCCCCCTACACATTTAAAAATAAACCTGTAGAGAAAATAAGAGTTGTGATCTACAGGAGTTTAGCTTGATTAAAGTTAATATTCATGAAGGAAAGTTTAATACTAGATGTGTCTTCTGACCTCCCACTGACTCGTGAATCTCAGTTCATCTTAAAGGGCAAGTGTTCTTTTTATCTGCCAAGCTTAATTGTTTTTAACCACTTCAGAAACAGCAATCCATACCTGGCTCTCATTTTTTGATACCCACTAACCTCTGTGCAAAATGGAAGCCAGGCAGCATTAATTACGTCTGGCCCTAAATTATTATATTTTCTCCCCAACAGGAATCAATTCATTTACAGCTTTCCAGTTTCCCCAGCCTGCAAGAGGAAGCTAAATCTAGGAAGGATGATTCTGAGAAAGAAAAAGAAAAGGATAAAACCAGAGATAAGTCCTCTGAGAAACCCAAGATCAGAATGCTATCAAAAGGTGAATTTAAAAAAATGTTTCCTTACCTTGCTTAATTGAGGCATGTGCATGGCCAGAAGACATTGCAAAGTGAACAAGTCTTTACAGCCCCAGCTACTTGGCACCTATTTTTCCAAGGGGTCCTGTGTGTGCCAAAGGAAAAAAAGAAAGAAAGAAAAGAAAGAAAAAAGCTACCCTCACTTTCTTTTTGTTCCTGCTCCCTTATCTGTAGAGCTAGAGAGGTTATTTTTAGAAGCACTTCTTTCTTTGAGTTTACTTTTGAATCTCCTGTTCTCCATGACAAGCAAAAGAGTGAATTCAAATCTGCTCTTGTATTCAGGTTCATTGACAACGGGCTTGGATTAGCTAACAAGGGTAATAGCTTTGTATGTTCACTCTCTTATCTCAAAAGAGAGCCAGCAAGGACCTCAGCACCTTCCCACAGTAAAGTCACACGGGGTGTCTAGGTCAGTAGGCTCTCTGGCACAGAGGACTTTGCACTCTGCATCCGTACACGGTTTGGTGTTGTTTCACTTGAAAACAAAAATCATGTATTTCTATGTGGAGAAGAGACATTCTGTCTGAAACCACAGGCCTACATCCTAGAACTTTCAGACTGCTGACATACTTCTAATTGCACAAAGCAGAGATAAGTAAAGCTATAATGAAGGGAGTCCGGCTGGAGACAGCTCAGGCAACCCCACCAGCTTAGGAACTGCAGCTGTTCTAAAATGGTTGCATAAACCCGAATTTATCCAGCTTGAAAATATTTATCCCCTGCCACATTCTGTACTGATTAACATGTAGATAATTTAGAAGAGAAGTCTCATTTTTTTTAACTGCTCTGTTTTAATAGAAAAGGTTGTCATGGGATCGTGAGCTCTTGAGGTCTCTGTGGGTTGGATGTACCTGTCACAGGGAGGCAGTGCCCCGCTGGTTTAGAGCACAGTGAAAACACATGGTGTTTGACACACTCCACCACCACTGAGTGCACACTTCCCCTCGTCTGACGCCAGGGTCCTCCCGTAGTCAAGAGCATCTCAACCGTCAAATTTTATTTTCATCCTGATGTTATCCTTCGAGGTAGCAAGCATTTTCACACCTTTAAATTTACCTGAGTAGGAAGGAAACCAGAAAGGTTGCAAACGCTTTCCCACCCCTGTGTTCCCATCATCCTTTCTGACAAGTAAACCTCACCCTGCTCTTTGTTTCAGATTGCAGTCAAGAGTACACGGATTCTACAGGCATAGACTTACACGAGTTCCTGATTAACACGCTGAAGAACAATTCCAGGTAAATGGTGACACAGGCCCTTTGTTTGGGGGTGGGAGGTTCAGATAGACTAGTACAATGTGATTAGTCAAAATACCTCTAAGAAATCAACCATAAAACACAGATGGCCTTCCCTGATAGTCCCCTCTCTGATCTTTCTCTCGCTGGGGCTGACTACTCCTAATAGGTATTTAGTTACCCACTGCTTAATATAGAGTGTGCCAGCTCCACTTCCCTAAACCCAAGGAAAGATTGAAGGAAAAAGGAGAGAAAGAAAATGATGAGTATTACGTCAATCACTTATGTCTTGGTGTGGATTCATATGTGTGTATACTCAGTACTCCAGCTTTGCTTCATTTTAGGTTTTTTTTTTTACTTTAAGTTTGTATCAGTTGTATTTTTATTATTCAAAATTTTACATATTATAATTAGCATTAAAATGATAACATTTACCAGGACCAAATACTTAAAAAGTGAGACTAAAGCAAAATCCTAAGTTCAAAAACATGGTATCCAAACCAAGGAGTCAACATAGTCTGAAGATGAGTTAGACACAGGTTTTCTCTTTTTTTTTTCCTTGCATTTGATAAACTGTATTTGACCTATGGAAACTGAAAAGTACATGATACCTTCTCTTTGAACATTTATTTTCCAGGGACAGGATGATACTCTTGAAAATGGAGCAGGAAATGATTGACTTCATTGGTGACAGCAAGTATGTTTAATGGCAATGCTAGCTAATTTGATAACATGTCTTAGTTCAGTATCTGAGTTAATGATTCATGCCAGAGAGAGCTGTGGAGAGATAAAACATCAGTTCATGTGGCTCTTGGTATGTTAAATGGAGAGGTCACTGGATTTTGGAGTGGTCATTGCTTGGATCATGTGTGCTCCTGCCTGTTAAATTTGTGACAAAATGGCCATAAACAGGGGGACGCTGATTAGCATGGAGGAGCTGTAGCAAGAAGCGACCCTTTTCAATTTTATTATAGTTTTTTAATGGGCTCCAGCTGGCTGCAGTCAGTTATGCCTGGAAATAATTGTGCTGTGTTTGGTGTAAACTGGGTAATGACACATCTCCCGATAGACATCTGCAATCTCTATTATGTCATGTAGTCTGTCCTCTGCCTGCCTCTGTTGATAAGGTATCATGAACTAAGCCAGAACACTTTGCAACAGACAAGACAAATGTGCAGCTGTGAAACGGTGATGCCAAGAGCAGCTTGATCAATAAATCTATGATAGTAGAAATTTGTCTGTAAGCGAAGACAGCAGGTGATGCCAAAATGAAAGGTGGTAAGAGTTTGTGAATAAAAGGAGACAGTGATGCAAATGCCTGTAAAGTGTACTACAGACATCAAATGAAGATGCCCATTTCACTCCTCCTGTAATCCTGTTCCAGTAACCACTATAAAAAGTTCCCCCAGATGTCATCCTATCAGAGGATGCTGGTCCATCGGGTAGCAGCCTACTTCGGATTGGACCACAACGTGGATCAAACTGGAAAATCTGTCATCATCAACAAGACTAGCAGCACCAGAATGTAAGTCCCATATTGGAGTTCGTTTGGTATTTTCTTTTTCTATCAGGGATTGGTTTATAAGAGTAGAGTTTACATTTCAAAGTATAATGACATTTAGTATGTGCAGCGCTGGTTATCCTTCTGTCCTTGCAGCAGGGGGGTGACACAGATCACTAGAATACTGCATGGGAATCAGGGAAGTATGCAAACTACAGGCAGTAAAGAGAACTTACTTCCAGCTTGTTTTTAATGTTATTTTTATTTTCTACAAATCTCATGGTTTCCTTTTTTTTCTATTAACATTCCATGAAATTACACATAAAGTGGTGGGAAATTTTATTAAAACTAGCATTCAGATGAAAACAACAGGCATTGAGCTGGGAGTGTAGCTCAGTAGTAGAGAACTTGGATAGACAACACTCACACACAAAGTCCTGCAAAATGGGTAAGGCCTAAGTAAGTAAATAGATAACTAAGCCCTTCCCACAAAGCCAGCCTGTGATCCAAGCACTCTGGAGAGTGAGTTTGAGGATAGCCCTAGATACTGTCAACAGGAAGAGAGGCCCGTGGAGGGGGAAGGGCTGGCGAAGGATAGGATTCATAAATCTGTGTTACATAAAACACAAAGACATTTGTCCCTTTCCCTCCCCTATTTCGGAAGGGAGACATGAGTTTTGTGAAAGCTCTGAACTGGACACAGAAACCTTGCTTCTAAACCACTTCCTGCTGACTGTTCCACACAGCCTGCTGCATTTGGTTTCTCCGCCTGCTGGAGTTTGAGCTTAACAGACATCTCTGTTTTAGCCCTAAGAGAACAATACTTGGCTTTTCTCAAGATAATCACTGTCTTTCATCTTCATGTCTTTCTTGTGTCCCTTTGAGTCATCAAGAACATTGTAACAGGAGAGACCATTAGCCTAGATGCTTGCAATTGTCTCCTTTGAACCCATGTAGATTTCGAATAGAGCTTAAGCCACTTCTTTAACAAAAGGTGTGGCATCCTCAAAAATAAAAAAAGGTAAATCGTCTTTTAAAAGAGTAACTGTCTTCTTTTGGGGGTTTGATAAGCAGTGAATCACATGGTCTTTGTGTCTGGATGTTAGCGCAGGGCGCTTTGTGTTGAACGGAACTCTCGTGGTTAAACCATTCTTTATTGTCTGCTCACCACAGGTTAGGGTAAGTGGGGTGGCCTCAAGCGTTCTTATCTCCTCAAAGATCCACCAGAGCTCAGCAGAGGCAGAGACAGTTGGGAGGAGGAGCCCAGAATAAGGAGCTGGGACCAAGAGTGGCTATTATCTCGGGACACTAAGTGCTTCATTTTTTTTTTTCACCCTGAGTTTCAAATTGCTTATATATCCGTAGAACAGTTTGAAGTGGATAACGTTTAAGGGCTCTTGAAGCTTCAGAATTATTGGGTCCCGCAGTTGCATTCTACTGTGCTGGCAAAACACATCTCAAAATTTAGCAGCTTTCCACTTCATCTGATTGTTGACTCCGATGCCTCCTGCTTTGACTGTCATGGAAGGTAAAGGTCACATCTTCGTTCTCCATCAGATGTGCCCAGCTGCTTTGGGTGTATTGTTTATCACTCTCCGTTCTAGGCCTTCTTGTGGCTTGCAGGTGCCATGAAATAGGGACAGACTCACTGAGAACAAAGGAGAGAGGCGTTTCACTTCCTCTTTTAATTGGTCCTTTGTATTTCACTCTGAGGCCATGGGAAATGTGGATTGGTACACAGATAGAGCAAATTAAGCCTGGTGGATTTATGACTTGTCAATGGTAGATCTGTTAATGGTTACAGTGGCTTTACAGTGCCATATTCATGAATGCCAGTCCAGGTTTGCGCACTAGTTGCTGGGGGATATGGATCCTCTGTAAATATTCCTGATAGATGCTTAGCAAAGTTGCCTTTTCCATGGTGGAATAGCTGTATGACTATTTACATTCAAATTTACCCTCAGTTGGAATTTTCAAGTTCAGTTTCTTTGTCAAGTTAGTTACAGTTCAATTGCTTACAGAGTTAGGGCACATCTAGAACATTTCCATGACTCCAGAAACTTTTGAATTCTTCAGCAGATCCTTGTGTTTCCATCAAGTTCTCCAGCATCACTGCAGGAGACAATCTGTTTTTAAGGTTTCCATTAGCTGACTAACAGAAATCCCATCGCAAAACCTCTTCTCTTCCAGAGAAGCATAAGCTTTGGTCACTTTTAGAAAGTTTAGTGTGTGTGTGTGTGTGTGTGTGTGTGTGTGTGTGTGTGTGTGTGAGTGTGTGTGTGTGTGTGTGTGTGTGTGTGTATGCTCGAATAGGTATGTGTCTATCTATGTGAACCAAATGAATGCAGTTGTCCAGTATGGGTACTGGGAGCTGCATTGCAGAAGTAGCACGTACCCACTAAGCCATCTCTTTAGACCCCAGCTTTGTTTTTTTCTGGGGCATTGTTAAATAGACCGTGCATGCTTATACCTTCAGGAAAGTGCACAGTGAGCATGGGCAGACAGCACCTCTTGAAGGGTTGGTGACTACTTTTGGTGGCAGCAGCAACAAATTTTGTCTGATCACCCCATCTTCTCTCCAGCCTTCTGCCATCCTTCCATGAGTCAAATCATGCCCAACCCCACTATCAGCTGTGTAGTTTCTAGTTATCAGCTCAAGCATCCAACTCTCTTGCTCCGTCCCAAACACGGTATGTTTAACCTTCAGTGATTTAAGTGGCTCTTAAGGGGTGGGGCACTAGTGGTAGAGTTTGAGGGTGAACTGCTACCTCCTTACAAAGGGAACAAAAAGGAAAGGGGATGAAATAAAGGTTATTTCAAATAGTAGCATATTGCAATTTTCAAGACGTGCATCATGTTAGCAGTGCCAGCAAAGCCTGTTGTTCATGAGTGTTTATGTATGCTATAGCTGTCTACTGAACTTAAAGGCAGAAAAGGACCATTCTCTTCACAGCGCTGTGTTGAAGATCTAGGTGCCTTGATGGTTTCAGCCACCATTTATTTGGGGAAGTTTGAATTCTCCACAAACACGAAGACTTTCCTTGCCAAAGCAACCGATAGTCAATCAGAGCCAGGCTAATCTTGACATATTGTTGGATTGAAATATATTGAAGGGAGATATCTGGGATGGTCCCTTGTAAGTGCTGTGTTCAAGGAGTACTTTTCCAATGTGTTCAGGTTTCTGCTGCTCCCGTGCAATCCCTGAAAATACGTATTTTAATTGTCATTGTGGCTTAGGAAAACAGATCCAGAATGCAAACTGTTTGGATGAAGTATGGAAATGAGATAAAAAGTTAAGAAAGAAAAAGACTCTCTTTTTTGGGGGATGAGCAGCTTTTCTGTGTAACTGCTCTGGCTGTCCTGGAACTCACTCTGTCGACCAGGCTGGCTTTGAACTCATAGAGTCAGCCTGCCTCTGCCTCCCCAGTGATGGGATTAAAGGCATGTACCACCACCCTGAGAAAAGCATTCTTTATGTTGACTTGCTGATTGTTTTTCTTCAGTGACTCCTTGTAGCTCTGTAAGATACTCCGATAACAGAGATGCTTACACTGGCGCCATGGCCTCAGTCACAGCAGAGTGTCAGCAGCCTCTGTCTGCCTTGGCTTTCCAGATGAGGAGTGGTTTAAGACATTCCAAACAGTGACTTGAGACTGTTAAGTTTTTCACAGAAAGAAATAGTTCTATATGAAATTCAGACTACTTAGGTCATAAGGTACAATCCCTGAGTACCATATGGAAGGATGAATGGCCCCTCTCTGCCATTCTCGGTCATACCCTCAGTGATCATCCATCAGCTCACCCTTGATGGAAAGAACCAGTCTCAGGACATATTCCTGAGTGAGTGAACTGATACCATCTCCTACTTAGAATCATGGCACTTACTATGTGTTCATTGTGCCCTACACTTCAATTCTTGGTTTATGTATATCATCACATCTAATCGTACAAAGAGAATTTCAGTTTGGGGCTTTCAGAGAAAGAGCAATGAACAGGACTCAGATCTAAACCAGTGAGTATAATTTGATGATTGTTTCAAGCCAAACCCTCTCAACTGCTAAGCCAAGTCCTCAAGATGTGTGAGTGGATTAGATAGGGATTCCAACTGCTTAATTCCTCTGTTATCTGTTAAAAAATAGGAATTAAAGAGCTGTTATTTTAAAGATGTTTTGAAGACTTACTCACTGTTATAAGTTATCATAAGAATTTTTCTTTAATTTGATACTCCTTGATAAATATTTCAAATTTGTCACTACTAACGCGTGTGGTTTATTGAAGGAGAACAACCATGAGTCATGTTTAGCAATCATGTTAGTATAGAAGATGAATCTACTCACTGTGCTCTTACAAAACCTGTGCCCTCAGTAGCTATAGATTCTCATCAGAGGCACAGGAGCCTCTGCTCCACAGGCAACAAGAAAACAGGATGGAGAGGGTTGGAGTAAAGTCACTATAGGTTTTGTATTAATTCTTTCCACGCTCTTGAGATCCCAGAGAACATGTGGCTTTGTAACAGAGAGGCTGGGCTCTCAATGCCTGTGCAGTAGACAAAACTGAGGGTAAGCAACACTCAGATAAATGCAGGAAGAGAGGATCCATCCATTGCATCTAAACAAACCTAAGCTAATATTTCACATTTGTTGAGGAGTGACAAAGAGCTGAGCTTTCTGCAGAGATGGTGGCATCTAGTTCTTATAGCCATCTAACAAAAGACTATTTTAAAGGTCACGCTAGTGCCTGGAGTGGAGAGGAAATCTGCTGAGAGGGAGAGAGGGTGTCAGCCAAGGTTATGTGTTAACCTCTGCCATCAGGAGTCTAACTCAGATCCTTTGCCCTCCAGGTTTAGGACTTTGCAGTGGTTCTCTGCTTCACAGAACATCACTGGGACATCCACCAGAATGTTATCTAAAGGGGGGGACCTTGACAATAGCGAGCCCTTTAGAATGCAAGTGTTGATAGGTGAGCTTGATGCTTTAGGAAGGACAGTCTGCTGTTAACAAGTAGGATGAGTTCAAGAGAGGAATAGTCATAGTGATGGGAAGGCTTGGCCAAACTTTCCTGTCTCTGAGTTGTAGGGCTAGAGTTAGGAAAAAATAGAGAAAGTAGGGAGTTACCATGGAGTTCTTGTGGGAGACAGTCCAAGATGGCGCTGTCATCTGAGTATAAAATAATCTTGGCCTGTAGTGTTGCAGATTTTCTAAGCTCAGAACTAACCAAGAAAGAACAGGTGAGAATATGTGACCAATTGCCTCTAGGTGTAATTTACAGGGAGGCCTCCTATGATAAATGTTATGATAAAACACATGGGGGACCTTGGAGGACCTCATGGCAGGCGTTGGTGACCTAGAGGGACAAATATGCCAGGCAGACAGAACTTAAGTGAGAAGTTTTACTAGAAAGAGGAGGGAGGGAAGGAAAAAGAGTTAAAGAGACACAGAGACAGAGAGAGGACAGAAGAGAAGAGGGAGACAGGAAAAGACCTGCCTGCCCCTGGGGACAGCTGGAACGAGAGAGTGGAAAAAGAGAGGGAAACAGAGAAAGAGAGAGTGGAAGGAGAACAGAAGTGGGTGAGCCTTTCTTTTAAAGATCTGAAGTACATACACCTTCCATGGACAGGTGGCTGAGAGCTGGGGCCAGGTGAGCCTACATTACAACAATAATTGTCTGACTTTTGCTTAAAACAGCAATTTCTTTGTTTGCGATAAGACCCTATGTTTTTGCAGTTGCTGTTATTCTTGTTTTTTCACATTCAATTGGTTCCATTGCCCTGTCCCTCTGAATTGTGACAGCAAAACAGCTTATTCTCCAGCATTTTGCATTTCTCACTACTGGATTTCTGGTTGACTGTCAGAATTTGGTGTTGTCGTCCACTGAAAATCCATGATGCGGACACTAGGGTCTATGATGCTTGACTACCACCGGAGATTTTACAATATTGCTTTTATTCTTCTGTGGTGTTTGAGATTGAACCCAGAATCTCATGTTTGCTAGGTAAGAGCTTTGCTCCTGGGCTATGGCCCCATCTCTAGTCTTTTTCTTTCTTCATAGTGTTATTTTTGTCTTCAGACAAGAACTTACTCTGCAGCCCGAGCTGGACTTGCGTGTGCAAGCCTCAGCTTTTCATGTAGCTGGGATCATATCCATGAGACTCCATCCCAGAATAATGTTACATTTTTGGAGATTTAGGTAGAAGACTAAAACTCTGAAAATGATTTTGTGAAGTTTTCTGTTACAAGCCTGTCCTGTTAAATTAGAAGCTTCACACTTTGTCTCTCAATCTCCATTTTCTCTTTTAATTATTTTTCTATATTTAGCACAAAGATGTTCATTGCTCTTTTTATGAAGGGTCCCTCATGCCCCCTTTTTATTTCCTTCTCCTCACCTTCATCCCAGAGAAAGAATGTAGATCTGGAGTTCACCATTTGGAGACTGGAAACCATCTGCTTACACTAACATTCACCACAAACAATGAGATTATTACCCATGCATACCTGAATATCTTTGCATAGTGCAGATCAACTCTTAACTCTGATAATTTTCATGTTAAAGGGCTGTCATATCTTCAACAATTTCTGTTTCATCTTTTACATCCACCCACTCTGCTTGCCTCAAATTCCCTACCCTTAAGAGTACAGAGCGAGCCTGGCAACAGCAAACGCATTGGAGAATAGTACTTCCACTCTCCACAAACCATGAGACAGGGGTAATCTGAATCACTCGGAGGATTTCCATGAGCTGAAGTCCAGCCTGGAGTACACAGTGAATTTCAGACCAGGTTGGCTACAAGAGAAGTTTAAGGGTAGCCTGGGCTACAAAATGAGCCCCTGTCTCAAAAACAAAACAAAACTATACAAACAAAAGCTTAGGATCCAACCGCAGGATACTTGAGGTGTGTGGTGAGGAGTGATAGCTTCAGAAGACAGTTAAATGAGACATCTATTCCCGAAATCACAAACAATGAAGCCTGATTTAACTAGAGACATTTTCTCAAGAAGGTGATGAGCATGAGATGAAGGGCCTTTGCTAAATCCCTGAAGAGAAGGGTCATTACTGAACTTTCCACCATCTCAGGGCACAGACCCGGGACAGAGAGGCTGAGCACAGGTGAAGGACCACACGATCTGCTGATGCACTGAAACTTAACTGTGGGGATGCTTGGGTATCCCCAATGGGGAGTTTCATCCCCCCCAGGTGACTGTGTTTTTACTGAAGCAAAACAAAACAAAGAACAGACATGGGCTTTCTCCCATGTTATGTCCTTGGTTGAGATCTGTAAGGTGCATGCTGAGTTCACACTTACTTGAGGCCTCTACAGAGGACCAAGCATCCATCTATTTAAGTGCATCTTGGAGTGGTTGGCTAGCATCCTGCCATTTCTAAACATGGTGAATCTATCGTTAGCTTTCTATATGAATGGTGTTGCCAATCATCTGACCAGAACACAGAGATCAGATGCCTAAAAATGCATTGCTCTCAGTAAAATTATGAGGCTTGTGGACTGAACATGTTCCACTTCCTGTTCCTCATCTGATTGGTAAAGATGCTGTACTGTTTGGATACTTTTGTCTATTGTTCAATGATAGAATCAGAACCATTAACATAGTCATCTCCCTAAACATTTACCCTTTCTTTGGGAAGACACCTAGGTTCTTAATCATCTCTTAAACTCAAACACAGAGCTGTTTGTTGACTTTGGTTAAATTCTGTGCCATTTCCCTGAAGCATTGTGTGGTCTACATAGTATTGTCTTCCTTTTTCCTCTGAGAGTAAAAGATTCTGTGCATGAGAGGAAGATCACAGAAACAGACGGCAAGGAGGAAGGAAGACACATTTATTTTGTACCCTTTTCCAGTTGTATGGTAGTTCACTGTTGAATTTTGGAAACAAAGTGAGCACACACCTTGAATACAGATAGAATCTGTACTATGATTATTTTAGGGAGCTTTTATGTGACACGGTGATGCATCCAAGGGGTATATTTATTTATTTGACTGTTTATTCACTTAGCTCTAAGAATTGTAGGATGTACAGTCAGTCCATCTTGTAGGAGAGGAACCAAAGCCCAAGGCTGTCTTACCATGGTCAAAGATCTGGAGCTCCTGCCTCTCAGCTCTTAAGCTTTCAAAGGTTATGGGGAGAAGAATTACCATTCATAGAATCACTAGTGTCAAGTTATGATGAAAAGCAAGGAGATAATTAAGCAGTAATCTTTCACTGCTATGCATTGGTTCACTTTCAAAATCCTAATTTGCATTTGATTATTTTTAAAGCTGTGCAGAGGGATTTGGAGACAGCTCAGCCAGTAAAGTGCTTGCTGTGCAAGCATGAGTACCTGAGTTTGAGCCCCAAGATGCACATAAAAAGTCAGGCTTGGTGATGCATGATTGTAGTATCAAAACTGGAGATATAGAGACAGGAAGCTCACTAAGTCTCATTGGCCAGCCAGCCTGGCCAACTTGGAACTTTTCAGGCTTGTGAGAAATCCTGTATTTAAAAAAAAAAGCAACTAAACAACAACAACAAAAACCCAAGATGGATCACGTGCAGAGGAATGGAACCTGAGGTTGACCTCTGACCTACATACACACATGCACATGCAAATGGACCACACATACACATGCACACACACACACACACACACACACGCACACCATACTTAAGCATACATATAAAAATGTTAAAGAAGCCCAAATAAGGACTGTTAACTTTAAAGTAGATGGTATAAACTATGAATTGTCTCAGCACACTTACTAGTAAACCTTATTTCATGTACTTAAAATATGTTAGGCATAAGTAGTTAGGCTCTGGCTAAAGTCTCAAACTGCAGAGACGTTTAATGCAGATAGAAGGAATAGGCTCAATACTGACTGAGGGCTATATTCACCTACAGCAGTTGTGCCTTGAATGACTTTAGAAAACACTTGAAGATGAGAGTGTCAGAGGATGTGGATGTTACAGTATGCTACAATGCTCGGTAGACTCTTCAAACAAACTGGAGTCTGCCAAAAGAAATGAGCACATACAAAATATTTAAGCCCATGACCTGGCTTCTTCCTACGCCAGTCCCTTCCAGATCCCACAGTGAACACGGAGGAACACAACCCCCAACTTCCCAGTCTCTCATCTCTGCCCAATCATTCAAACCTGTACAAAACAGCAAGCAAACAAAAAATCTTTATCAACTGAATCACAATGGCAATTCTTCACTGGTGCAAGTACAATGTTTACCTGCAAATTTTAATGGGCTAATTCACCCAGATATTATCACATACAAACAAAAACCATTCATTCCAAAAAGCACAATTTACTTTTCAGTTTTCAAGGACAGAATTATTTTCATAAACTACTGACAGGCCCATTTGGACACTCATGATTCAAACATTATACAAATATTACCACACAGATTGGATCTATCATAATATTATCACTAAGTCTGATGAGAATGTAAGGTAAATATTTCTTGGTTTACTCTGGACTGAGGGAATGCCTCAGTGGGTAAAGACACTTGCTGCCAGGCCTTAGAAGGACCCACACAGTAAAGTGGGAAAACCAACTCCTATACCACACACACACACACACACACACACACTAAATGAAATATAATAAAACTTAGAGTATAATTTATTGACATGCCTACTAATTTTGCCTATTCATAAACTGTAGACAGTATAATAAAATGTTCTAACTGTTATTTTGATCCTCACTAGTACCAGGTAAAGCACTTCAGGGTATAATAAGATTTTCTAACTGTTATTTTGATCCTCACTAGTACCAGGTAAAGCACTGCAGGGTTTACCAGGATTGCTTGCATGTATTCATCTCTCCTTTGCATGCTAAAGCACACATTATATTTTTTTCAATTTATGCAACAAAACAAATGAGCAGGACTCCTCCTTCATGGACATTGTATAAGTTGTCAAAAAAAATCACAGTCAATAAGACAGATTGAAAAGACTCAGTATGTGTTAGGCTTATTTTTCAGTGATGTTCGTATGTTAAAATCATTTTAGTATTAATGATTTCCTGCAGTAAATGATCATTTCTTCTGCAGTTATTAACACATCTTCCAGAATTTGTTTTAGGGAATGGAAATTAGAGTCATTGGATATATTAATACAGCAATATTTTAAGAATATGTTTATTATTTTTTTGAGAATTTCATGCTGACTGGTTTTATGTCAGCTTGATGAAAGCTAAAGTCATCTGAGACAGGGAACCCGGATGGAGAAAAGCCTCCTTAAGATCAGCCTTCAGGGACAGTCTGCAGGCATTTTCTTAGTTAGTGGTTGATAGGGAAAGCCCAGTCTGTTTTGAGTGGTGCCACTCCCAGCTGGTCGGTATGGTGGTCCTGGGTTCTATAAGAAAGCAGGTTGAGAAAGCCATGTGGGAACAAGCCAGTAAGTGGCACCCCTTCATGGCCTCTGCATCAGCTTCTGCCTCCAGGTTCCTGCAATGTTTGAGTTCCTGTTCTGACTTCCTTGGAGGATGAACAGTAATGTGCAAGCCAAATACACCCTTTCCTCCACAAATTGCTCTTGGTCAATTGGGTTTCAGTGCAGCAATAGAAACCCTAACTAAGACAAATTTCATACAATGTAATTTGATCATAACCTCAAGTTCCTCCCCTTTACTCCTCGAGTCTTTATATAATACAGAACTAGATGGGCAAGTTACACTCAGGGTCTAGGCACCTTGTAAGTTTATTACCACTGAGAAAAAGCTGAGAATTAGAAAACTTTCGATAAATCAATATGATAGAACCGAATAAGAATGTCTCATTAATGAAGTGTTGGAAGGAACAGCATGTAGGTGCCACATGCTGAGGAGTGTGTATCCTCAGGGCAGAAGCTGTGAGAGAGGAAGGACAAGTATGTTGAAGCATGTATCACATGTGTGGGTGGACATTATATGGTTGGTTCATAGGTTTATTTAAAAAACATCATTGAGGTTTTTGAAATATAAAAAAGCTAAAGTAATCTTCAGCAAATCCTGAATCTGATCCAACAGCCTAAACCTAAAATTGACAATTATTCTGATGAGACCCTGTCTTTGCAGATTCTTTGGTACTTATGGGATAAAAGTGTAGGAATGGATGTATAGTTTCAAGAACATAGGTGTGCATTGCCTTTTTATCTGAAGATAGTAGTAAACAACATTTCATAGGCATTGCATATCAAATCGTTCATGGGTCACTTTTGAAGGACATTTTCTTTCTGTATTATAGATGTTATTTTCCATTTGTGCAAACCCTTGTTTTATATGTAAATTTTAAGAATGATACCAGTGCCCTTAAGCTCAGTGATTGTATCCCTGTTTGGCTGTGTTGAAACTCCATGCTCAATACAGTTCATGAATAGCTAGCCACACAAACTAAGAATACCACATCAGGTCTTAACTGTATATGATTTACTTCCCTTTTAAATTTTTATAGTGTCTGTCTTATCCCCTTAAATCATCTTCTATATTATTGTTTTGTCTTCTTTACAACACACACACACAAGATCTTCTTGGTGATTGTTAACATTTTCTCATTATCATTTTGTCATTGGTAAAATTTCTACCCATACAAATCAAGAATAACATACCAATAAACATGGAAATCTTGCAGTATGAGATGAGTTTTCATGTACTAGAGGGTCTTAGTGTAAGAAATGTTACTGGGGCAAAGAGCAAAATTTAATCTTACATTTCTAAAACCATGCAGTATAATATAAAAATTAAGAAATAATTTGACAAAATAAACCATTTAAATCCCCAGTTCAGCAGATTATTAAATAATACATTCAATGAAAGAATAAAATATTCATAATATAAGAATAATTTTATAATCCAATGATTTGGTATGAGTCACTATTAAGTTGCTGAATTGTTTTGTTATCTGTCTGAGATAATAGCTTTCATTATTTTCTTGCTATAAAATAATGTGTAATTACTATAATCATACATTCATAAAAGATTAGAAGGTGAGAAGTAAAGCTGCCTTCTGCTAACAATATTACTGTTGCCATGTGTTATAGTTTGAACATCAGCATAGTCAAGTTGCATTTGTATTTTTATACAGTGTCTTTACTTACTGTTCAGTATTATTGGATATTGTTTTAGAGGACTCCATGTTACTATAACATACCTCAAATTCCTTATGCAATACGGAAGATATCTTCATTCTTCTGTTTTTGTGGGATGGAATTCGGTGTTTATTTACACCCATTTCCTTTGGATTCATTCTTAGAAATAGAATCCCATTATCTAGGCAAATTGACACAGCTTAGTTTTTCATTCATATAGCCCAGTATTTTTACCAAAGCAAAAGGACCATCTTAAGAGTCTTGCAGACTCAGGTTGCCTTGGAATGTGTTGCTAAGTGTCATTTGTAGCTGTCGACAGTAAAGAAGAACCACGGTCCCTTGTTAGCCTGCATGTCCACTAGCACTTACCCATATTGAAGAACTTGGTGGAAAATGGTTAGCGAGATAGTTTGAGCTATAAAACGGTCCTCACACAAGCAGGAGAAACTGACTTTGGATCTTCAGAAGCCAATAAAAAGACAGGCATGGCTCCGTACCTATAGTCTCAGTGTTGGAGAGCAGCAGTCTGAAGGATCTCTGGAGCTTGCTGGCTAGTAAGCCAAATGGGTGAGCTCCAAATGCAGTGAAAGGGATGATGTCTCAAAGTACAAGGTGGAGAGCAATTGAAGGAGACACCCAGTGTATACTGTAACTCTGGCCTCCAAAAAAACATGTACACAGGTATACATGTAACCTTCCACACATGGATACACATGGACATGTATATGCACACACTATACATACATATAAAAGAAAGAAAATGGTTTTTCCAAAACATGCAAAATTCTAAGCACAAATTTGAAAGATTATAATAATAAAAGATGTAAAATTGATTCAGTCTGTAACTGACCTGAATGTGATCCCTAGACCTCACCTAGTGAAAGAAGAGAAATGACACCTACAAGGTTATCCTCTGAGCTCCACACAGGCGCTGTGATACACAGGGCTATTCCCAAGACAATAGCAAAGAAATGCAAAATATATACAAAGCTAATTAAAAACACGTTCACTTCCTAAATTACAGTATAGTATCATTTAAAAGGAAATGAAGTGGAATGACATGACAGACTGATATGGGAAATAGTGAAATATTATTCTTCAATAAAGGTGCAGGGTTTGTTTATTTATTTTCAGTCAAAGATCCACTGCTGTGAGCATTTTAATCGAAATGTTCACAGTTTTCTTAGGTTTATTTGTATTTAACAAATCAGAATCAGAATACTATTCATTTCACTGTCCAGCCAATCTCTCCCTCTGAGCACTATTGAGATCTATCTCCCATCAGTCGCACTTTTCCTGTGGTCTAGGTGACATGCCAAGGTCTCTGTTTACCCTACTTCCACCACCGACTGTCACCCCCACCTCCATTCAGTTCTTCCTTTCTGTGTAGGAAGGGAGGGTAAGAATCAGCAGGACTATTTGGAAGAAGAGTGACAAGTTTTGTGGTAAGAGCCTAAAAGTGAGACCAAACTGTTTAAAATATTTAAAGATAAGCCAAAGATTCAAAACAATAGTAATAATGAATGTCCATTTCTCTTGAGGAAAAAAAATTTAACCAAAATGAAATTTATTGAATAGAAAAGAGATTTGATAATCTTCAGTACAACCCTTTCTTCCATGAGTTCCATATAAAAAAGGAGCACCGTAGAACCAGCTTAAATATTCATTTTTTTTCCAGAGAGGCCAAGATGCAGGCCTATTCACTATACAGAAGTAGTGTGTCCTAATGCAGGCCTATTCAGTCACTATATCTCAGCAGTGTATGCTATGGACTTGCAGCAGAGTCTGCTATATGTGCTACAGATTGTGGAAAAACACATTTTTACCTTGAGATAAGGAAGCTATTACTCATCTAAAATAAGCATTAATTTTATTTCCTATGCATTTTGGCAATGGTATATAGAAAGGTAGACATGATACCTCATGAAGCAAATTGAAAAAAAAAAAACAAATTGAACCAGAATGATACATGTCCATAAGGTACATAGCAAAGTTCACTTATCATCATTTAATAAAAGCATGACCTGTTTTATAGTTTTGAGAATTGTTTTTGAATTGCATTCCTGTATTCACAGATTAAAAGTAATTCATTACTATTTGAAATACTATTCCTAAATGCATTATTTTACTATTGTTCATCTTAGGGCTTGAAATGTTCAATTAGATGTAAAAGTGATTTTTTAAATAGCTGTGATACAATGGCCCATTGTCAGTAGTTTTAATTCAATTACTGTAGTATTTCAATTTGTACTTTTGTTAGCTTAAAAGTCATGAATAGTTCTACATAAAACTAACCTGGAAAAAAGTCTTACTACACTTGCTTAATTATTTTTAAACAAATTTCAAAATTACCTTATGAACACTTTAAATATTTTTCAAGAAACCTAAGAGGCCTAATATTTTTCTAACTTTTGAAAATATAAAAAAGATAACTTGTAAATCAGTCACTGAGAATGCAGTTTGTATATTTTATATCAAATAATGAAATATTATTAACATTTATGTTATGAGCAGCTACACTACTTCTGATTAAATTTTATCATGCTATCAAAGTATTTTTCACACATGCATACATATATGTGATATATGTTGCTATACACAATAGCACTATGACAAAATGGGATTTCAGAAGGAACTCTATTACACTTTACACAAAGATACCCTTGGAATAGGAGCCCAAAAGGAGAATTGAGATTTCTTTCCTACCCAAGAAGCTCAGACTTTTGTAAAAGATTTTAATGATTAATAAACATAAATTCAATGTTTAATGATCATTCTGTTTTCGATTTGAATTTGTGCTCCTGTGAACCAAACTCTCCAATGTCCTGCTCTATAATTACAGAAATTATAACCTTATATCTGACTGAGTGACTCTTGGTCAGTCCCTGAGCTATAACTACTTGTACACAGCTTGGCTAAATTGTCACTCATCCATAAATTGATTGATTCGTTCATTAAATTGAGTGTTTTCCTAGCACCAGGTTTGGATATGGCCACTAAGGATTAAAGCTTGTAAGGAAACAGTGTCCAACCCACGTAAACCATCTGCCAGCTAGCATTCTCAGTTCTCACTCAAATACATTTTTTCTTAAAGGAAGAAATTAGGCTAAATAAATTCACCTTGTGTTTGTGACTCAAAATATTCATGTTCTCAGGTCCTCTCATTTGTGTGTGAATATCAACAGACTATTAGAAATAAAAACAAAAAGGATAGCTGCAAATTTAGGCAAATAATTTCACTTATTAGGGCTTAGAAGACTAGGGCCTGAGGATATCAGAAGAGACTAATTAACATTGATATGATGTAATTAACATTTATATAATCAGCATCTTTAAGTTAGCATTCTTATTTCAATTGCTATGGAGGGGGATAATATAACAGTCAAAGAAGTGCTGGTCCAGAATTCCAAAACAGTAAATTATTTGGGGGAGCTGTCATTTATCCAAACTATAACTGAACATGTTGCTATCGTAAGAACTTTCTGTACAGTAAGGAACCCATGCATATGCTGACTACCCTGCATCAAATGTGTTCATTCCTCATGTCCTATTTCCACTTCCAGATCATTTGTTATATTTTATCACATTTTAATTTTGGTGGAAAATGTTCGCATTGATTATCAAGATGCTGTGATGAGGCTTCTTGGTTCTTTAAGCTGAGGGGTGAGATCCTCCAAGACCTTACCTCCTGCCCATTGTGCACTGTAGAGTCAAGAGGGACAGCCTCCAAAACAATACAGAGAGACCCTGTCTTGTAAAAACCAAAAAAAAAAAAAAAAAAGAGGGACTGCCTGCACCACCACGTCTGTGGGGATGTACTTACGCTATTTCAAGGGCAAATCTACAGTTATGTAATCAAATTAATCACTGAGGGATGTTCTCCTCATCTAAAAAAAAAAATCTCCTTCTGCAGCCCACTTTTCCCAACGGGATGGGACAAGAGGGTGGCATCATTTTAGAAACCTTGTGCGGTGCAGCTGGCACCAGCCAAGCTTCTCTCCTCTCGCCGGCTGGTCACCGCTGTTCTAACACATGGAGAGGTGTTGAGGAGAGGGTGATCCTCATTCTGACTTGAATTAGACTCTTGAGTCATTCCTTTGTCACTAAAATGCTGTTTGTAATGGAAATTTTTCTTAATTGCTGGTCACCCACTATAGAGCACAGCCACTATGAAGTGGCTTCCTTTGCCTGTGATGCCAGGAACCCAGCATGGTCAGGAACTCTAGAAGCAGTGAGACAGCTTCTCTTAACCCAGAGACAAACACTTCAACATGTCCTCTGTGATGATCCCAAGCCCCAACTCATTCGTGTAGTTTAGGGTGTGTGCAGTGCCAATCATGGGGAACTAACCTGTAATAATTAAGAGATTTGGCAAAATCAATTGACCAGTTAGTAGTATGCAACTACTTAGAGCCTTCCCTTCACAACAATCAGCTAATAATTTGTTTAAACTAAATATCATCAGCTTTTCTAATTACTGACCTGATTTAGAAGGCATGGACCAGAAGGTCAGGGGCTAAAGAAGCCAGATTCCAGAGCATTTATTTTTGGGGAGAAGAAAAATAGCTTGAAAACAAAACTCTCAGTGTGGACTCCAAAGACTCTCAGCATGTGTGGGTGAAAGGCAGTCATCATGTGTGGGTGACAGGACAGATCATGTTTTAAGCATGTATATTGAGCTATGCCTGGTGGTACAACCTGCAATTCTACCCACTTAGGAGACTGAGGCAGGAGGCCATTGACCCATGACCAGCTTGAGCTACAAAGTGAGTTCAAGACCAGCCTATGCAATTTGGTGAGACCAAGGTCTCAAAATTAAAAGGAAAAGGAGGGCTGGGGAATGCAGCTCACAGTTAGAGCCCTTGTGAGAACCCCCAGAGTCAATCCCCGATATCAGAGAAATACAAACATTAAAAAAATAACTTCCTATTTGCTTGAGGATATGTGTGGGGGATTCACGTAAGTGGGGCCACACAAGGTCAAAACAGCTAAGGAAAACATGGAATCACTACGTGTGCTGGGAGCTTTAACTGTTTCTGTAAGTTCATCCCCGATGATGGGCGTGCAGCAGCAAGACTCTGCATTGGAAATAACAAAAGGTATTGTAATCCACGTGAAAAGTGACATGTTATGACCTACCTGTATAAGGTCAGCAATTCTAATTCCACAACCAAATATAAAGCCCTCTTCTCTCTCTTTCAAGTTAAATGCCACTGTGTGTGTGGGGGGAACACACTAAGAACTAAGCTTAATCAGACGGGAGAAAAATACTTTTTTATTGATATGTTTTACTTTGCTGGCAGACCAGAGCAAAGGTTTTGTGAACATTTAAAAGATGAAAAAAGTGAAGAATCCCAGAAGCGGTTTATCTTGAAGCGAGATAACTCTAGTATTGATAAAGAAGACAATCAGGTTGGTTCTCAAGTTTGAGAGTGGCTGACATTGTTGTTTTTGAAGGTGGGCTGATTGATGTTCTTGTTGTCCCTCTGTTGCCCCCTCCTGCCTCCTAGCCACCCCTTCCTGCCTCTGACAACCGCTGCCCTCTCTCCAACCCCTTGGCCTCCATTGCCTCCCCCTCTGGCATTCAGTGGGTAGCCACACGATGTTGCCTCAGTTGCTTAGCAGTGGCTCTGTGTTGGGCTGCATGGGTGGTGCTTGGCACAGTCTTTGCTGCATGTTGTGGTGGGGGTCGGGACGCCGCAAGCTCTGAGCTGTGGGAATAAGCTTGTCAGCTGCCTTTCCAGATGTCTGTGTAACTCTGCCAGTCACTCCACTCCCTACAGCTCTGTCCTTCCTTCCTTCCGTTGTGCACAATTTGAGCTGGATTTTCAATGAGGACCGATGAGCCACCGGTGTAGCTGTAAAGAACATACCTTGTTATGGTGAGGACGGGAGGATTTTGCAACTATCCTAAAAATAAATCTTCACAGCAAAGCATCGAGTTTCCCTTCTCGTCCCCCACCCTTCTTCTCGTGTTTTATGGTCTATGCAATGTGTTTGCTTGTTTGCATGAAATGTAGCAGAAACTGATCCCTGCGTATTTTGCCTGTGATGAAACACTGCCATTCTAGAACAGCCCTAATCATGGTCCTGGAGCAAATGAAAAGAGACCTTACTGAATCTCTTCTCTGCGTGGGTAGGAGGGAGGGAGGTTACAAGCAAGAAGACTAAGTAAATGACAAAACCAAAACAGAAAAAAATAATGACAATAAGAACATCAGAAAGTCAGGAGAACATACTTGGTGTCTGACAATCCAAATAGACATTTTTGAAACATGTCTTTGCTTTAGCATTCATACAGGTAAGACAATATGTATCTCACTCAAAGTCTCCTATGAGTTTCTCAAAGTGAGTCACCCTGAGCCAGCGTGTGCATCTCTGATGGAACTCCTCATTTGTACCTCCTTGTCTCCCACCACTGCAGCCCCCGGCCCTGAACTGCACCGGGGCTCTTGTTGACTTCAGAACATGCCTGTGTTGTGTACTCTGTGGGTGTCTGGTGAACGGATGGATGGATGAGCTTAGTGCAGAGAGGATTTTGTTCAGAGTGGCAGACAGGTGGGAGGGCAGCTGAGATGCAGGGAATAGGTCAGAGAGGATGAATCCTGGTTCTCATGCTGGGTCCTTTGGATTGTTACTGCAGCTTTCTTTGCACTAGCATTGACTGTTATCAACAAACAGGTTTGCTAGGCAGAGTTTATGGTCCCCATGAAATTCACAGGGTTAGCCACTGAGCAAACAAAGAAACCTTAGAAGCCAGCCACTATCCACGGGCTGCTTTCAGACTCCCACTTTCTCTGCTGTCTTGTCCTTTCTTGAGATCCCTTTACAGTCACTTCATCCCTCAGGCCCCCTGAACTCAACTCTTAGCTTTTCCATCAACACTTTGCCTCCTGTGTGGTCAGACACACTCAGCAAGGGGAAATAAACTATTCCTGGCTGGCCCATATCTGGGCCAATTATCAAGGCATATTCAAGGCTGCCCATTTTTAAAATATTCATTCTATTTTCCTCCATAGAGGATGAACCAGGAATAGCGTATCCTTCTTATGTCAGCATACCACACACAGATGCACACACCCACACATATATAAACACATACACACATATACATACATACAAACAACCACAACCACACCAATAAATACGCACACATACAACTATATATATCACACACATGCATCCATACACACACCCAAAGATCACACACAGATACACACACATGCATACACATATACACGCCACACCTATATACACATATATATGCCACACATATAAGCATACAATATAAATATCACACACAGAGCTATGCACAGGCATATATATATATATCACATATATATATATACAGAAAACCAGATCACACACACAGATACATACATGCATGCATATATATGTATATACCACACACATGTGCATATGCACACATACACACAGATATGCACACGTGCTTACACATACCACATACATGTCACACACAGAGATGCACACATATGCATACACATATACACACTTATCACACACAGATACACACACAAGAATACACATATATGCACCACACACACACACAGATAGACACATGCACACGTAAGTACATATTTCCAGCCTAGCCTCCTCAGGGAGCAGAGGGGTTGGGGCTTGTCAGGCTCCAGTTATCTTAATGAGCATTTATTATTCTCAGTTGACAGTTGCCTACGAGCTCAACATGGATAACCCTCCTGATTTCTTTTCTCTGTTCAGCAAAACAGAATGCATCCATTTAGAGATGACAGACGAAGTAAATCAATTGAAGAGAGAGAAGAGGAGTATCAGAGAGTGAGGGAGAGAATATTTGCACATGATGTGAGTAGTTGTTTTAATTGCCTCTTGAGTATGGTCCTTCCATTAGCAGAAAGGCCCCTCGCTTCTCAGACAGAGAGCTGGCAGGGAATACAGAGGCTGGGACCAAGGAGCGAGCCACAAAGCAGAAAACACAAATGCTTCCAGGAAAGAATCTGGTTCAGGGACATGGTGCAAACAGACCAAGAGTCTGTGTGTGATCCCAGGGATAGTCAGGTGTGATTCGGGTCATTAAAAGAGACAGTCTTTATAGAAAGGGTTGTCAGTTTCTGATATTCCTTTACATCCATAGTAGGGAAGAGATCACCTCCTAGTGAGTTTAAAGAAAATTAACACTAGGGCCACAGATATGGCCCCTTGAGTAAAATGTTTACTGTGCAAACATGAGAACCTTAGTCTGGCTCCCCAGCACCCTTGTAAAAGACAGGCATGGGGTCAGGCTTCCATACCACAAGCACTAGGGAGGCAGAAGCAGGTAGATCCCGCAGACTCGTTGGCCACACAATCCAGTCAATTTATAAGCTCATAGTTCATTGAGAAGCTCCAGTTACAAACAATAAGGCAAAGAGCAATAGAAGAAAGTACTTGTGTGGATCTCTGGTCTCCACACACGTACCCAGGCATACATGTGTGCAAATACCACACACACGAGTGTCTTTTGTATTCTTACCAAATATGAACACTTCAGTATGCAAAAGCTAGATGATAATATTCACTCCCCATCTTGATTTCAGATCAAATCAGATCTGTGAACAATTTGTCAATGGAATAATCACAAAATAACTTCCTTTAAGTCAAAATCAAACAAAGAAAATGTGGTTGGGTTTTAATTTTTTTTACCCATTATGCTCAAGACCAAATTCAATTAAGTTAGATAAAAATTGGGACACAAAATTAAGAACTGGATTTTACAAACAGGTTAAAACACTGAGGAATTGCCATAGCTTTCTATTCTGTGGGGCCCTTGGGAGCTTTCTCGGGTGTTAGGTAGCCTGATCTCTGCAAGCTGTGGAGGAGGCTTCAATGTGGTCAACACTTCCAGCATCCCTAGCATCCTCAGTCAAGCTCTGTGGCTGAACTTGTTGCTGGAGGACACACCAAGCCAGCAGGACACTTGGACTTTGCTCCTCAGCTTGGGGGAGACCACTTCAAGCCAAGGCAGGTGTCACCAACCCCCACTTGCGGTAATTCTATAGCTTGAAGCTGCCAAAGAGGCAAGATCTGTCATGTAGGTTTCACCTTTATATCCTCTTTACCTCACTCTTCTTGAACACACTGAGATAGAAATTTAATGATCAGTTACTCAGGTCCAGAGAAAAATGGAGGTTATCACAGCTGGAGGTGTGGGTGCAACTCTAGGGAGTATGTGTGGACTACTTAGACTCTTGCTATGTTCAGAATGCACCATGATACATATTCTCCCTAGATATGAGAATCAAATGGCTGATAGTTTTCCCTTTGTCTTGAGAGGGCAAGAGACTATAGTGAGCTGAGAGGCAGCCCACTTGCTTCTGAAGACCTTCATAGAGACAGCATGTCCAGAACGTTCGTTTGCTGTTTGTTCTTTAATTCCCTCCTCCTTTATATGTGTGCTTAGCTCTATGCAGCTTTCCTTCAGGCTTCTGACAAGTCAAGAGTTGTAGGAAATGCCCGTCACACAGACAGGGCATAAACAACCTTTTGCTTTGTTTTGTCTTCCTTTTCATCTATATAAAGTTGTGCCCCTTTATTGGAGAAGGGTGCTAAGAAACACTGTTTTAGATGCCTGTCTGGAATAAGAATGGAACCCATGACTCTTAACTCCACAGAAGATGACCACAGAGAGAAGGGCCTACATGGCTTTCCTTCCCTGGGGACAGAGGACCCAGGGAAAATGCTTGAGACACTGCTGGCCATGTTGAGCTTCACTAGCCACAGGGATGGAAACATTCTTTTCAACTGAAAAGTAGATCTAAGTGTGACAGAGCTTAGGTGCCAAGCTATTTCCAGTCCCTCACTAACTCCAAACCCATATCATTTGCCAGCCTGTTTCTGGCACTACTTGCAACCGAATACTACAGGGAAGGGTTTTAAAATGAGTGTCCTTCAGCCAAAACACACTCACAAACCCACTACACAGTTGAGTGACACCCTTAATATCATTAGTAAAATGATGTTATATGTGTTTTTAAAGGGAAAAACATCTTCCCTTTGCTTAATACCTTTCTATAAGTTACCGTGATTCTTAAAAGCCTAAGGTAGAAAACTCATGCCCACTGTTGTTCCCTAAGCCCACAGAGATACTCTTGTCGCTGGCACCCTACTGTAACCTACTCACTGAGTATGACAAATTAATCCCAAATTTAGCAGCATAAAGCAAACAGAAACCACTTATGTCACCACTGTCTTTACGGGTCAAGCATCCAGTGTAGCTCAGCAGGTGATAATAACTCAGAATCTGTAGCAGAGGGTCACTGTTCGGCTCTTAGCTGGGCCTATTTCCTGAAGGTTTGGCT